GGCTCAGCAGCAGCAGCAGCAGCAGCAGGCGCTGCTGCTGCTGCTACTGCCTTGGGGGGCCCCCCGCGCCCGGACCCAACCCCCAGCCTAGACCTGGGGGTCCCCTGCTGCCGCCCCGGGGGCCCCTGAAATAACTCATCTGGGAAAAGCTCCAGCAGCGCTGTGTTGCTGCTGCTGTCTGCTGCAGCAAGACTGGGGACGGGGGCCCCCGGGGGCCCCCCAGGGGCCCCCAAGGGAAGGCCCAAGGGGGCCCCCTGGGGGGCCCCCAACAGGGGGGCCCCCAATGGGGGCCCCTGGCTGGTTAGGGGCCTTTGGGGAAAGTATTTGCCTTTAGCAGCTCTTTGGGCAGGTGCTGCTAAAGGGTGGAGCCCGAGCAGGGGATAAGCCCGTGGGCCTGCTGCTGCTGCTGCTGCTGCTGCTGATGTTGCTGCTGTTGCTGCTGCTGCTGGGTAGGGCTTGAGGAGGAGGGCCTCGTGCTCCCTCAGCAGCTGCTGCAGCAGCTCCATCCCCTGCTTCCGCTGCAGCGGGTCGCGGGTGTACTTGGGAGCCATAGTCGATGTTGGGGGGCCCCCGGGGCCCACTGGCTGCGGCAAAAGAGGGGTTTGGGGGGCCCCCGGGCCCCACAGGCTGCTATATGTTTTGTGGGCTCACTGGGGCCCCACAGGGTACTCTAGGGGGCCCCCGGGGGCCCTTCGGCGCACAGAGGCGTCCGGGGGGCCCCAGGGTGACCTGGGCGACCGGGGGCTGCAGCAGCAGCAGCAGCACAGCCGGGGAAACAAAAATGAAGAAAAATAATTATTATGCCTTTTAATCCATCGGAAAATGCAGAAAAATATAAGACAAACAAAAAGAGGATCGATTCTAAGTCGCAGCAGCAGCAACAGCCGCTGCTGCTGCTGCTGCTGCTGCTGCAGCCGACAGCGCCCGGGACTGTTTGTCTTGCCTCCACGAAGCCCTTTGAAGTTCTAATGAAAATAACAATTATTAATCAACAAATATATTTAATGTTTATTATTTTTATTTATTTAACTTATTTTTCAGATATTTCGCAGAACTGTCGCCTCTGCTGCTACACCGGGAAATCAGAGGAGTTCCCGCATTCAATGAAGCAACTGCTGCAGTTCTTGAATTACCTTGCAGCTTTTTATTCCTTTTTCTTAATTTTAATAGCAAAAATTTCAAAATAAAAATAGAAACATTTATTTAAGTGTTTTCCCCGGTTAAATCCGCCCACCGGTAGCTGCAGCGTGGCGAGCAGCTGTTGCTGCTGCTGCTGCTGCAGCAAGCGCTCAGCGCATTGTTTATTCTGCTGCCTTTCTCATCAGTCTATATTTGACTTCCTTGGAGGGAATTAAAAAGACAAACTTGCAGCAGCTTCTCCTCAGCAGCAGCAGCTCGTTGTGGCTAGCTGGGCTCGGATGGAGCTAGCTAGCAGCAGTCTACAGTTCAGTGTAGCTAGCTGTAGCCAGCGGTAACTAGATTTAGCCGGCGGTAGCTAACTGCAGCTAACAGTAGCTAGCTGTAGCTAGCTGTAGCTAGCTGTGGCTAGCTGTGGCTAGCACTAGCTCGCTGTTGCTAGCACTAGCTAGCTGTGGCTAGCTGTGGATAGCTGTGGCTAGCTGTGGCTAGTTATGGCTAATTGTAGCTAGCTGTGGCTAGCTGTGGCCAGCACTTGCCATCTGTAGCTGGCTGAGACTAGCTGTAGCTAGCTGTGGCTAGCTATAGCTAGATGCAGCTAGCTACAGCTAGCTACAGCTAGCTGCAGCCCGCTGTAGCTAGCTGCAGCTAGCTGTAGCTGGCCGTAGCTAGCTGTAGCCAGCTGTAGCTAGCCGTAGCTAGCTGCAGTTGGCTGTAGCTAGCTGTGGCTTGCTGTAGCTAGCTGCAGCTAGCTGTGCCTTGTGGGCAAACCCTGAGCTTCACTGTGTGGCCCCTTGCGTGTTAGTGCCCCCCCAGCTAGTGATTAAACAAATTAGATGTAAACAAATAAACAAATAAATAAATAAATAAATAACTAAATAAATAAATAAATAATTAATTAATTAATTATTGGCCAGCAGCAAAAGCTGCTTCAGCCTTCTTCTTGCATGCGCTGCTTTGGGGGCCCCGCGAGGCCCCTAATGAATCCGATGAGTTCTGTGTAAGAAGTGGGGCACTCGAGGGGGTTCCCCAGTCCTGCTGCTGCTGCTGCTGCTGCTGCTGCTGCTGCTGTGGGGCCGGCGGGGAAGGCCCCTCCCGCGGCCGCCGCGGCTTCC